TTGAAGATGTTAGTGGTTTTATTCTATTTTATATTGGTTCTCGAGCTTTGGATATAGAGACAAGGAGATTATTTGAGGCGAGCATTTTACAATCTAATGCACCTACTTTAGAAAATCTTTTGGACTTCGTGTCACAAAGAGTTCATATTTTGGAAAATATCGGTACTATTGATAATACAACTGAAACCGCAGTCAAGGTCACGGGAAAAAGGGGCCAGTCCAACATTACTACTCAAGCGTCTTATGCAGTGTCCGTGGCGTCACACAGATCTAATAAATGTGTATGTTGCCACCAAGAACATTCTATTTATCGGTGTTACACTTTCAAGAGGAAAACGGTTTCGGAGAGAAAAAAGTTTGTTATAAATAACGGATTATGTTTTATTTGCCTTAGGAGCGGGCATACGGCCAGTTCATGTGCCAGTGAATACAATTGTAAACATTGCTTTGGAAAACATAATATATTGCTACATGAAGAAAAAGGCAATTCTTCTCAGGTTGACGATGTTAGAGGCGAGGAAGAAGAGACAAGTCCATTATCAACGTCAGACCAAGTAGCCGATACTTCTCAAGTGTTTTCAGGTTTGGCTCGCTCAGGGACCAACGTACTCGGCACAGCGGTAATTCGCATCAGTGATACGGCGGGAGAACCACATGCTGTACGCGTGTTGCTCGATAGCGGTTCTCAGGTGTCTGCGATCACCTCAGATTGCGCAAATAAACTCGGTTTGAAAATATTTAAAGGGTGCAGAGAGGTTGTTGGTTTAGCTCAACAACCAGTCGCTCAATCACTAGGGGAAGGAACCTGTACTTTCGTTCCTTTAGTAGCGCAAGAACCGAGTTTCATAGCATCGAAAATTTTAGCATTACCACAAATAACTAAACTTATGCCTCATGCTAAATTACCTAATACGGTACAAGAGCGTTATAAGCATTTAACCTTAGCTGATCCACGGTTTGATGATCCGTTATCAGTTGATATGTTGATCGGTAGTGATTTGTATCCACTTTTATTACCACAAACAGTGGATATAATACATAGTCCGGGTTTGCCTTCGGCCATGAGTACCCATTTGGGTTGGGTTATTTTCGGTTCGTTGAAAGAGTCATCTGAGTCGTCATTTAAATCGGAACTAGCGATTGAAGACTTAACAAGAACATTTTTTATTGTTGAAGAACCATCTGTAAATATAGCACCCACAACCGAGGAAAGGTTTAGCCAGAAGTTAACCGGTGATATCACTGTTCCGCGACGCAGAACAAGAAAACATTGCGTTAACTCATTATTTCGTAAGAATATGTTAGATGAATTAACGGAGCGGTCGGTGTTACGACATGGAAAAAAGAATTTATTTGATCACAGTTCATATAGTATGATAATTACGGACAGTGAACAAAATATTGAAAGACAATTAGAAAATTTAGCGCGAGACAGGCGTAAACGAAAACGACGCACAGTAGTCAATCGCGTCGTATAACTCGGTACAAAACCAATCTTTTAATTATCTCTTTCCTTTCCTTCTTCCCATAAGCATTAGACGGCGCTACTTATTATTTGCATTAATTTTATAAATTTTTTTTCATTGTTGATTTTAGCTTATGTTTTGTTTAATTTTCATTTTCTTTTTTTTTTTTTTAATAATTTTCTCATTATATGAAGTTGTGATTGATAAATAATTTATTAATATGTATTAATTTATTTTACTTAATATCAAAAGGATAAGGTTTTAAAAATAGGTTTTTTTTTGTTTTAATTGTAAAGATATTTTTTTGTTGTTTAAAAAAAAAAATATGTTCTGACCGAGAAAGTCACTCCAGTGGAATTTTGAAAGCAAAGCTTTCAAACGGCGGGAGTATGTTCGGTCGTGACGAAACAGTTTGGTGAGTGAGCGCCGATTTTTTATTCTCTTCAACAAGAGCGATAAAAAAAAAAAAAATAATAATAAAAAAAAAAAAAAAAAAAAAAAAAAAAAATTTAAAGCCCATAAAAAACTTTTTTTTTATTTTTTTTAAAAAAAAGGCACAAAATTTATAATACATGTTAAATATATAAAAATACCTACATTCCGCTCTAAAACAAAAATGTGTCATGGAATCGACCTGATTAAAAAAATG